GGACACTGAACCGTCTACAAGGCGAGCTCTCTAGCTTAAACAGTGCTGATGTACGAAAAGTGGAATTTTGGAGCACCGATTGCATCAGTTCCATGTAGCACAAGCGGAATGCTGTTGCGCAAATTGTGATATCATCTGCTCCAGTGTTCCTCAACACACGTGGTCGTGAGCGGCAGTTTGAAGCGGAGGAAGAGAATACAGAGAATGGGGCTGAAGACGAGGACAATAGTTTGACTTCAGTGCCAAGGCGACAAGTGAATGTCACATTGTGCTTTTGTCCGTTGCAGTTTGTCGACCAGCCGGAGCGTTTCCTGTGCAAATCGTGGTATATTACGAAGGTGATTGTGTTTCACATTGTGGTTGATATGCTGAGTTGAGAGGAGAGAAGTGTGGGGGTGAGTGAGACAGTGAATTAAACTGGAGTTGCTTGTGCCTTGCAGATGACTGGTCAGTTGGAGAGGAAGAAGACACAGGTAGGCGCATAATTGAGATGCTCGGATGCATGCATTGCATAGGTGTGTGTGTGTTTGTAGGTGATGGGAGTCTGGGGGTGCGAGAAGGGAAGGCGGTGGAGAAAGGAACGGAGACGAGGGTGAATGTGGGTGGGAGTAAGAGTGAGATCGTGAAGGTGACGACAAACAAGAACCGGGATGGAAATATGAAGGAGGAGGAGGAGGAGGAGACGCAGGTGGTTGAGTTGGAGGCCAAGAAGAATGGAGGTGAGAAGGAGAAATAGAATGGAGAGGCTTTGGTGAATGTGGACGTGAAGAAGGAGGTAGAGATGGAGTCGGAGGCGAGGGCGGAGGTGGAGGCGGAAGCGGAGGAAAGGAAGATGAAGGTGCGAAAAGAGGGCTAGGGTAGTTGAGGTCCACTCAAGCTCGTGTGAAGAGACACCTCCGTCTATCCCGAATCCGTACTTGTGTTTCAAAGGAGACTGAAGCGTTGTGATGGAATTTACATTTAACAACATATTGTGAGGGGCATTCCAAATATGTGTAGCATCGTCTTGCAAGTAGTTTTGCTTTTAAAATAACTCGCCTAGCAGAGGCAGCCATCCGCAGGCAATAGAACTGGAGCACCCACGCAAGATGACGGCAATTTATCGGCCCCTATTATTGCAATGATTTGCAACGCTGATGAATTCACAGTGAGGCACGGCGGAGGATGGAGAGGCAGTTAAGGCAAATAATTCCTGCTATACAGTAATTCAAAACTGGAGAAGACGAAACAAAGCGGCTGAGGGACGTTGATGATGAACCGGTTGGTGGGAATGACGACAATGCACAGAAGTGTGAGAAGTAGCTGCAAGCATCGAAACGCGTAGTTCAACACGTCTGACGGTTGGGCGTGTAAATCACTTCCTCGCATCACCTGACACGTCTGTGAAAATCAATCAGTCGCACGTGTTGCGTGGTGTGTCA